TCTCTCTCTGTCAAATAAATAAATAAAATCTTTAAAAAAAAAAAAAAGAAATGTATGTTGTTTTAAGCTACTAAGTCTGAGGTAATTTGATATGCATCAAATAGATAACTAATGAACATCTCAACTTTTGTTATTTAAATTATCAGTAATTGACAAAATGAAAACTTTTAGCTGTACATTAAAGGCAAATACAATTTAAAAGTATAAGGCTAATATATATTTTGACAATCTTTTGGATTTAACACCATCAATGAAATAGTAAATATTAGGCTTTTTATACTCAATCCTAATTCCTATAATCTGGAATGATCTGCTCAACAACTTCACCCACATTGCTAGTAATACTGTAGTCCTGTACCTTTTTTTTCTTCTCTTTTTTTTTTTTTTTGGAGAGAGTGTGAGCTAATGAGTGAGTGTGGGTGGAGGGGGAGGGGGAGAGGAAGGGGGACAGCTCCCCGTGTGGAGCTCGATGTAGGGCTCGATATTACAACCCCGTCCTGCACCTTTTCAACCTGGTTATAAAATGCAATTTTCTTCCAGATGTAATGTTACTAATGTCATGAGTACTCTGAAAGAAAGTATGAGCCATATAATACCACAATGGAAAATGTTTCTAGGCTACAGAGAGAATAAAAAATTTGAAGGTTTTCCTTCCAAAGAAATTGTTACCTAAGAAAAACAGGTAACTGGTGGCAGAAAAATCAGTATTAATGCTTACTGTTTGTTTTTATGTTTGCTTAAATGCTAATAAATATATACTCCAGATGAATGAAACAGAATGCCTCAAATGGCCTGGGAGGTACAGAAATCTAGACTAAATGTCAAGGTAACCTCAGGCACAGGTCCCATGCTTGGGCCCCATTATGCATTCATTTAATTAACAAGGACTTATTGAATACCTACTGGATACTGGATATAAAACAAGGAATAAGTCAGACATGGTCAAGCTCACAGTTTAGTAGGGAATAAGTAAATAAGTAATGGAATCTAATGTGGTATTCCCATTTAGGGTTCTCATAGGCTGCTATGGTAGCACAAAGGAAAAACGCTTAACTCAAAGCGGAAATGGAACTGGTAGTTGTGCCAGGAAGATGTCTCAGTTGAAGTGATATCAAACTTGGACCTGAATGATGATTGGCAGTTAACTGGAAGGGGTACTAGGGGAAAAGAATTCTGAGAGAGGGAGTATTACCTATGAAGGCCTAGGAACAAAAGAAAACCTGATGCATTGGAGTGACCGCACTTTCAGGAGGGGGTTGAGGAGTAAAGCTGGGGAGGATACAGAGAAGTACACAAAGACCTTATTATAAAGGGCCTGATAGGTCACACTGCAGTGTTTGGGCTTCATTTAAAGGAAGCACAAAACTACTGAAGGATTTTAAGAAGATTATAATGATCTCACTCTTCCATAACTGACAAAATGTTCATGACAATTTGATTTCTGAAAACTTTCCAAATATGTTAAAAAGCATATAGAAACATTTAACATATTTTAAAGATTATTTATTTGATCTTTATTTATTTGAGAGAGAGAGAGAGAGAGAGAGAGTGCGCACACGAGCAGGGGGAGGGGCAGAGGGAAAGGGAGAAGAAGCAGACTCCCCGCTGAGCAGGGAGACCTATATAGGTCTTAATCCCAGGACCCTGGGATTATGACCTGAGCCAAAGGCAGATGCTTAACTGAGTGAGCCGCCCAGGTGCCCCAACATTTAACATTTTTATGTATTAGCAATAATCAGAAGACAGCAGAAAAGAAATCCCATTGCAATATAACAAAAACTATAAAATACCCATGAATTATCTTTTTTTCTTTTTAAAGATTTTATTTTATTTATCTGAGAGAGAGAGAGCACAAGAGGGGGTAGGGTCAGAGGGAGAAGCAGACTCCCCGCTGAGCAGGGAGCCCAATGCGGGACTCGATCCGGGGACTCCGGGATCATGAACCTGAGCCAAAGGCAGTCACTTAACCAACTGAGCCACCCAGGTGTCCCCACCATGAATTATCTTTTTTTTTTTTTAAAGATTTTATTTATTTATTTGAGAGAGAGAAGGAGAGACAGAGAGCACGAGAGGGAAGAGGGTCAGACGGAGAAGCAGACCCCCCGCTGAGCAGGGAGCCCGATGCGGGACTCGATCCTGGGACTCCAGGATCATGACCTGAGCTGAAGGCAGTCGCTTAACCAACTGAGCCACCCAGGCGCCCCAGATTTATCTTAATAAATTAATGTACAAAACTATATGTAAGAAACCATAAAATTTTGATAAAGGATATAAAAGAATGTCAGAATAAATGTTTTGGGGATGTGAAGACTCAACATTATTAAAATAATTTTCTTCATGTTAATTAGCAAATATAATGGAATTTTTATAAAATCCCAGTAACTTTTTCAGAAGTACTTGATAAATTCATTGTAAAGTTTATCTGGAAGATGCAAAGACCACAATTTTGGGGGGAAAAAAAAAGGTGGGAGGGCTTGCCTTGCTACATATAAAAAACATATAATAAAAGCACAGTAATTGAAAATGTATGTGAAGTCAAGACACTCAGGGATGCTATGGGTTGAACTGTGTCTTCCAAAAGGTACGTTCAATTTCTAATCCCAGTACCTGTGAGTGTGATCTTTTTTGAACACAGGGTCTTTGTAGATTCAATAATATTAAGATGGAGGTCATACGGGAGTAAGGTGGGCCCTAATCCAGTAACTGGTATCCTTATGTGAAGAAGGAAATTTGGACATGGAGACACATAAGGAAAATGCCATGTGACAACGGAGGTAAAGAATGGAGTGATGTGGCCCAAGGAATGCCAAGGACTGCTGGCAGCTACCAGAAGCTGGAAAAAACAAGGAAAGATCCCCTCCCAGAGCCTTCAAAGAGCATGGCTCTGTGGACACAGATTTTGGTGTCCTCCTGACTGTGAGATAATAAATTTCTGTTATTTTAAGCCACCCAGTTTGTAGTATTTTGTTAGGGCAGCCTAGGAAACTAACACAAGGAGAATATGGCAATTTTATATATGATAAAAGAGAAATCTCGAATAAGTTGAATAGGTTTTATTTGTTCAGTAAGTAGAGATTAGGACAACAAGCAATTTGGAAGAAGTTAGATTTCTATGTCATAATGGGTACTACAATTCCAAGTAGACCACAGATCTAAATGTAAAACACAAAACTATAGAGGTGGTAGATGAAAATTTAAGAGGTTATTTTTATAACCTTGGTGCAGGGAAGGATCTTCTAACCCAAAACACAAAACCCAGAAGCCAGATCTGACCATTTAAAAATGAAAACTTCTGTATACAAACAATGAAAGACAACATAATCAATGTTAAAAAATAGGGAGAAAATATTTGCAAGATACATTAAAGACATCGAGTTAATATCCAGGATATATATGATCACACAGACCCCAAGGAGATAAGCAACCAAAAACACAAAGGCCAGTAATACATGGATACTCAACTTCATTAATAATCAAATGAGATGCAAACTGAAATGAGAAAGTATTATTTATTTAGAGTGGCTCGAATGAAAAATAATTTCTAATAATACCCAGTGTTGAATAGGGTATGGTTGAACAGGTACTTTCATACAGTAACATTTTTACAACCTTTTTGGTTTGGAGAGCAATTGGCAATGTCTATTGAAATTTTTTATTTTTTTTTTTAAAATATTTATTTAAGTAATCTCTATACCCAATGTGAGGCTCAAACTCACGATCCTGAGATTAAGAGTTGCATGCTCTTCTGACTGAGCCAACCAGGTGCTCCTTATGTCTATTGAGATTTAAATGTTCATACCCTTTGTTATAGCACATCCTTCTCTAAAACTATATCCTACTGAAACACAAGTTCACAAAAATAAATAGGGGGAAATTCCATTAAGTGTAGGACATGCATAAAATAGAGTATCATGCAACAGGGGTGCCTGGATGGCTCAGTCGGTTAAGTGTCCGACTCTTGGTTTCGGCTCAGCTCATGACCTCAAGGTCCTGAGATGGAGCCCCATGTGGGGCTCTGTGCTCAGCACGGAGTCTGCCTGTCCCTCTCCCTCTGCTCTTCCCCACTGTCTTCCCCTGCTCTCTCTCTCTCAAATAAACAAATAAAATCTAAAAAAAATAGAGTATCATGCAACAATTTAAAAAGAAGATCTACATGTACTGTCATAAAAAGATGTTCTAGACTTTAAGTGAAAAGAGCAAGTTGGAGAATATATATTTTGTAAATACCAGTAATAACTATCTTACGTACAGAATAAAATGAAGATACTAACTGTGCTAACAATGGATATCTTAAAGGTAGGAAAATTTATTAATTCATTTATGTAATGTTTAATGAGTGTCTGTTATGTGCCATTCACTGGTCTTGGTGCTGGGGACTTAGAAGTGAATAAAAAAACAAGATGAGGAAATAGCGAACATTCATCTTCTATGTTAAATACTTCTATAAAGTATCACCTTTATATTTTTGTCTCTAATAAATCTATGTTTAGTTTGATTTTTAAAAAAAATAACCTTTAAGTGGGCACCTAGGTGGCTCAGTTGGTTAAGCATGTGCCTTTGGCTCAGGTCATGATCCCAAGGTCCTGGGATGGAGCCCCTCATGGGGCTCCCTGCTCAGTGGGGAGTCTACTTGTCCCCCTCCCTCCCCAACCCCTGCTCGTGCTCTCTCTCAAATAAATCAATAAAATCTTTAAAAAATAAGCTTTAAGGTACTAATGAAAAACTTTCAACAATATAAAGCAATTTGTTTTATCATTCTCTTAAAATCAGTCTTATTAAACAGTTTTTTAAAATGGCATAGCATATTCAAGACTATATTTTGGTAAAATTAATGTGAAAGCATCAACAAGTTTCTAATACCGTAAGATCATTACTTTGCTCAGTTTAAAAATAAGAATCCTTAAAAAAAATAAAAAATAAAAAATAAATAAAAATAAGAATCCTTAAATTCTATGGTATCTGATTTATCTATATCCCTTATGATACAGTATTTTACTTACAGTTTGTGGATTAATCTCCTCCTCTCCCATAGGTTCATCCATAATTTGCTGTCCATTCTGTGAAAAGCACAGCAAGTAGAAAGTTACCAACACAGATTTCACATCAGTTAAAGTTAAATGAAGGCAGACAAAACAAAATCACATGGGAATATTTTCACCCCTACAGGGTTCTAATGAAGTACCAAATCACCATATAAGTATGTAGTTGCCAATATGCAACAGGTTGTGCTTTAAAAGTTAACTATAAAAACATTTTCCATGGAAATAATATAATAAATGATGATTACCTTTCCAGGTGAGCCCTTGAGATTATTTTAATAGTTAAATGCATTACAAATGGTGTTATTTAAACCTCACTGAACATCATTTACAATACTTTCTTTGGCAAAACACATTCTAAATTCCAACTCCACTGATTAATCAGATGCATAAAACATTTAAATGTCAAAAATAAAATTATCGAAGTATTAGAAGAAAATATAGGTAAATAATATTTATGGGGTAAGGAGGGTGGAAATCATAAAGGAAAAAAATGACATTTGAATCGATAAAAGTTTAAAATGTCATCTGTCAGACAAAAAAGATAAAAGACAAATTGATTACAAAAAAAGCAACATATGACAAAGGGTTGGTATCCTCAATACATAAAGAACTTTGTTTTACAAACCTGTAAGAAAAAATGATGAACCTCAACAGAAATGAGCAATAAGGGAAAAAAGAGTTCAGCCTTAGTACTAATCAAACAAATGCATTTAACCGGAAGATACCTTTGCCTTTCAAACTGGTAATGATTAACAGAAAAAATAACACCCAGCACTAATATGAGTATGGGGAAAAGAGCACTCAGGATATACTGCTGGAGAAAGTATAAATCAGCACAACCTTTCAGGAAGGTAATCTAAGTCTGTATTAAAACAAGTGTGCAAAGATGTACATACAAGAATGCTCACCATAACTTTTTCCAAAAAGAACTCCAAATTGGAAACCTAAATTCTTAACAATAGAGAACTAGTTAAATATATGATGGTACATTCATATAATGGAATACTATACAGTCATTAAAAATGATAATAAAGATGTAAATTTATTGACATGGAAAGACAGTCACATGTAATAAGTGAAAAAGCAGTTTACAAAAAAATATGGATTGTAATGATCCCATTTTAAATAAATATATACATATTTCAATGTATATATTTGTATGGGAAAAACTCTGTAAGGATATACAGCAAAATGTTAACAGTGGCTATTTCTGGGTGGTAGAATTTTAGACAATTTAAAATATGTTTGTTTTTGCATATTTGAATGTTCTAATGTATCTACAATGAATATGTATTATTTGTGTAATAACAAAACAAAACAAAACCAGAAGTCAAGAACACAAGGTCTTCTCTAGTTACTTCAATGGAAAAAGGAGTAAATGTCCTTGACCACTTGTCTATTCAACAAATGTAGAAGGATCTAAGCTAACCATCTTTGGAGCATTACCAACTGAAAAATAAAAGGCAGCCCACTCATCCCACATGAGGCAGATGCTCTGAATTTGAACTCTCTCTACTCTCTAAATCCCTATTTATCCATCCATTCATCCACCCATTTCATTTCATTCATGCTATGTTCTAGGCACCAAGCTGTAGATGAACGGTTAATAAAACATGGCCCCCAACCTAGAGATCTATCCTAGAGGATCTCACAGGTCTACTGACTTGTAAAAAGAGTACCTTTCATTTTCAAACACTCATAGAGTATGTTCCTAGGTTAGGGAATGCCTATACAATATTACAAAGCACAGAAATGGTGCTAAAATGCAGAAAAGGGGAGGCAGTTATAAAATCTTTATTATCCTAAGACACTTTCAGAGACTATAGTATTGCCCACTTCTATGGTAAGGACTCAAATAACTCCAGGAGACATCTTTCTCCCAAAAGCCACAACCATTTATTCAACTGAATACTGATCATTTTTATCCAAACATCACAGACAAACCTTAAACTAGCTCTTAAGAACACTAGCTTTGGAGTCAGACACCTAGACTCAAATTTCTGCTCTTACACTAAGTATGAAGCCTTGGACAAGTTATTGAAACTAAGCTGTAGCTTCTTCGTATGAGAAGTAGAGACTTAAAAGTCTCATCTTCAGAGAGTTGTGGTAAAGACTAAGTGAGATAAGTGATATAAAACTCTAAGCACAGTGCCTGACACTTAGTAAACAATCAATGGTAGCCATTTTAATTATATCCAAAATTCAGTCACCCCTTTTATGGCTCACTAATCTGCTACTTCTCCTATATTTGCTATCTTAGTGAATGGTACCATCATTCATCTAGTAGTACAAACTAGATTTTCTCATTAATTGGTCAGCAGAGTTCTCTTTCTATAACACAGATCTGTTGAATGGCTCCCAATTATTTGACTTTTAGAACCCTTCATCTAACTGAGCTACAATTACACTTTCCATGGGAATATAATTTGAGAACCATCTGCTCCTTGCAATTTTCAATGTAATACAAAGCAAGAATTACAACTAATAACTTACTTTTAAGGCCAACTGGTATAGTAGAAACAGCACTAAACTTGGAAGGTAGACCAGGGATAGAGTCCTAGGTCTGCCACTTATAAGCTTTATTATTTTGGGCAATTCAGACTGTCTCCTAGCCTATTATCTTATCTTTTCAAAATGAAGATACTTGCCCTGTCTATCCAAAGGGTTAATGTTAGACTCAAAACTGAGATAACTTAAAAGAAGTACTTTAAATCATAAAGCACTGTACCAATGCAAATTACTATTATTAAGGTGAGGTAGCTTCATGAGGATAAAATAATACTCCATAAAGTCCTTTTAATCTTGGAATCAAAACATTTAGGATTGGTAAGGGATCTTGAAAGTCTTTCATTCCAAATAAACATCATATGCTTCAGTTCTTTTTTTGCCATTCTCACCTAGATTTGAACACTATCAGGACATGAATGTACTACCTCACCAGGCAGCCTAGATAAAATTCTTCACTATATAGTAATTTTCCTCAGCTACAAATTCCCTTTAGTAGGATTACTAATATATGATGACTAACTTGCCTGTATTCTATCTGTACAATAACTGGAAGTAAATCTACACCTACTACTGTAAACCATCCTGAGTCTGTTCTTTACTAGCCAACTCAAGTTCCTTCAAACATTCCTTTCAGATAGATGAGACCACCTTCTTTTCTGAGCATGCACCCAATTCATCTTAAAAGGTAGTATACAGAACTGCATTCAATTAATATTGCAGCCTTGATATGACCAATGAAGAGTAAAGAGCGTATCACCTCCCTTGTCCTAGATAATAAACTTATATTAATGCAGTTCACATATGCATTATTTTTGAAATGCCCAAAACACATTGCTGAATCATACTAAATTTTCTGTTGATTAAATCCTTGCCTTCTTCATACTGCAACTAAGCCCTGTATACTTGCTGGTACACTTACTCTCATGAATAAAGCCTTAAATTTTAAGTTTTTGATTCATCTTTTTCTAGTTCTGATCCTCTATAGGATTGCTACGGCCTCTATAAAAAAGATTCTGAATCTGCTAATCAGCCTCTTCGCTATTTTCATCTTCATGTAATCCATAAATCTTATATTTCTATTCTAAAAAATTCACCCAGCCAATTAACAGTAATATACTAACAAAGCAATCTGAAAAAAAAAATTAAGTGAAACATGATCTAAAGGTAGTTTATGCTCTACCTTTTGCAAAAATATCTACTTCCTTTCTGAGTTTAGGAAAGATTGAAAATTTTGAACAATTTAATTTATTTAAGGAAGAAAATATAAAAGCCAACATTATCCTACATATTGGTGAAGCTTTACAAAAATTTACTTTAAAAAGCACTTTTACTTCAATCCTTTCATCAAAACAAGGATTCAAATATTACCTACTAGAAATGAGCATAATTACTCATGCAGCTAGTAAGTTTCCTTTTTGAAAAATGACTCCTGGCTTCACTAGAGATTAGGTTACATGGGCCATCAGTCTGACTTGATACTGCAATTTCTATAGTTTCAAAAGTTCAAGGAATAGTACCTATTAAATAAGAAAACTTACTGAATTTTAAGAAACAGATAGAAAAAACATATGGTCTGCATCTCACTAGTACCAGGTTTAAACCCCAGCTCTGTCACTTACTGCTATAGTTACCTGGCCTTGGGTAAGTTACTCAACATTCTGAGCCTCAGTCTCTTCATCTGTAAGATGCACATAATATCTACCTCACAGGGATGTTGTACTTAAATGGATCCACCAAAGGATAGTAGATGCTCAGTAAATGCTACTTTCTGTTCCCTCTCTTTTGCCTGAATTGTGTAATATATACATTTCTACAGTTAACTTCTAGAGACATAATGCAATGAAGAAGTACAGGAGAGTGCTGAGATACTTGTTTTGCTACTTAATACAGCCAATTTCCCACCAACCAGGGTGAAAGAGATCATTCATAAGTGTAGTATATTTTTATACAATGTGGCCAAAGAATGAGTACAGACAAAAAAGAATAGTTTAAAAGTGAGGCAAATGTATTTATCCTCTCTCATCCCACCATTATGCCTTCCAGCCAAAAAACTGCAGAGCTTGGCAGATTGTACATATGCAAATATTATGTGAAATACTGGAAAAGGTTAGGAAATGCTAATCATGCTTTACTCTGTTAGTCTGAAATGTGTAAAAGTCAAAAATAAGAATAAAGTACAATATGGGTCTCATCAGAACAAATCAGACAAAGGAGACTGTTAGCCTGCATTTCAGCAGGAATTGTTTTCAAAATAACTTCTAAGGTTGTGGAATGAAATTATCACTAAAATCATCTTTCTGTTTTAAAAAGGATGAACAATTAAAAAAAAAGATCAAACCAGTAATTCTGAACCAAGGTTTCAGGACTTCTAGAGTATTCCCAAGTATTTTAAGGAAAATTCTCAAATGTTAAAAATAAGAATATTTTACTAAATAAAAATTTCGTTTTAAGCAACTTTATTAAACAGATTGTTTTGTTGTAATGGTATGTTACAACAATGCACATTTCTAGGTTGCTATTTGATACCTTTGAAGAAAGTATAAAATACATTAAAAAAATGCTTTGAGTCCAGCAGGAGATCATCATGTACAAGTATACTAGAACTAAAAAAATCATCTGTGACTGATGATATGCTACCTTGAGATTACTAGGAAATATCATCTACTGACATCCTCCTACATAGGAATGAAATATACATATGAACACTGGGAGAAAAGAATTCTTTACAGAGAATAACAGCCTGAAATAATAGGAAAGGAGGAGGAAAAGAAAGGGTCCAGAGGCCTGGTGTACTAATTTGGAGACCAGGTTGTAGGAATGAGCAAGGACCGTATTTTTTTTAACCACCCTCAAGTTTCCACAAGTATTATTTGCCTTCCAAACTCCCTGAAATCAGCAGTGGCTCTCCTGCCCAAAGCATATGCAATAGGAGTCCCATGAAGCTGCTGAGGATGAGGCATGAGAAACCTCTCTTGAATTTCAGTTCAGATACCATCAAATTGTTCAGAATCCAAAAAATCTTCTATGCAATCACATTGAAACAATAAGAAACAAGCATTTTATATTCTTAATAAGGAATGTATATAATCCTTACCAATATGACAGGATTAAGAATCAGCTCCTCATTTATCCTAAGGAAATATCAGAGATGTGCATAAAGACTTATGTACAGTGATATTCATCATACTCATTATACTGAAAAATAGAAAACAATCTAAATGACCAACAGGGGACTGGTTAAATAAATCATAACACATCTATTCATATGTAGGAATACTATGCAATGGTTAAAATAAGGGCCTCAAAAAATTAATGATGCAAAAATATGCTTGTAATGTATTAAATTAAAAAGGATACAAAACTATACAGCACGACCCAATTTTGTGCCCCCCCCAACATGTGTGTATGTAACTGGAAAAATATATATCAAATCTTATCAGTAGTTACCTGGGTCATAGGATTTTCTTCTTGTACTGTATTTTCAAAATTATATGCATTTATTATTTATTATTTTTATAATGAGGAAAAAATGCAATCAATATAATTGGAAAAATCCATTATTTCTAGTTAAGTTGCCCTTATGGGTTGCTTTGCTATTCCTCAAGCAACTGAAGGCCTGCTAGTACTCAAGACTGTTCTATTTTCTAGACTAGGGTAGAAATGACCTCTGGTTATATATCTATGTTTTTAAGTTTTAGAGGACCCTTTCAGAAGCTTTTTTTTCCTGTATAGTCCTGTGGTTGTGGCCTCGGAAAATAGATACACTTTAGGCCTGAAACCACCTTATGTTTTTTGGAGTGTACCCCTAAGGGGAATTCTGCTTATGAAACAGGAGTATGTTGAGGTAAGAATAAAGAAATGAAAACACAGTAGCCAAAATTAAATCTGCATTGTGAATAGCAAATATTAGAATCGACACTGCAGAAAACGGAATCCATGCCACAGAGGACAAACTTGAATAAATGAAAAAAAATGAAAGAAAAGATTAAAAAACTATGGAGGACAGACATAGAAATAATCTATGAATAACAGATGTTCCTAAAGAAAAAAAAAAAACAGAGCATTTTAATCAATCAAAAGTATAAGAAAACTTTCCAGTTCTGAAAAAAAAAATACCTGAGACTGGAGACTGAGAAGGTTCAACAGAGATCATCAACACCAAGACATATCCTGGCAAATGTTTTTAAATTTCAAGGATAAAGATATAATCCTACAAGCATACAAGCAGAAAAAAATAGGTTATTTTCAAAGGAACTAAAATCAGAATGACCTCAGATTTTTCCTCTGCAACAATAAAATGCCAGAAGACAATGAAGTAATGACTTACAGAGAGTTGAAAGGGAAAAGTTATGATCTAAGAATTGTATACCTTGTCCTAGTTTTTCATGTACAAAGGTCACAGGAAATTATTCTTAGATCAGCAAAATCTTATAACATTTCACCATCCTGGTAGTATCTTTTTTCATAAATTGTTCAAAGGTAAGTCCTAGACCATTGAAAGAGAACCAAAATAAGACCTTAAGAACACTGAGGTAGGGAAGAACTGGTGAAGTATACTGACATCAACTTAGTATCTAGAAACAAATGAATAAAATAATTAACCCCACTAAAGGAGAAAGGGTCAATAATGAAGAGTAAATAGTTGATATAAGTATATAAACAATATAAAACTTAGAAAGTTAAAGGTAAGATTTGTAATCTCAAGCTAAATTAATGTAGACTCAAATAAAAGAGGTAGTGGAAGAAGGGAGAAAAAGATTCTCAGTTCTCTCTGTCCTAAAAGGATTATTTAAAAACCACTATTTTTAGTAGTTAGCTAATAAATATAAATTTTGGAATGTTTTAAGAAACCATATGATAACCAAAAATTGTATTTCTTTATTACAGTCCAAATCACTAGAGAAGATAATAACTGGCAAAGACTGTAAAAACTACTTTATGAAAGCATCACATTCAACCCTAAGAACATAAGGTAGGTATAATCACCCCTGTTTTACAGATGAGGAAACCAAGGCTCAGCAAAGTCAGTGAATGGCAAGAGCAGGACTCAAACCCAGGTCTTTCTAGCTCTATAATTCTTTCTTCAGTATTTCATAACCTCCTCAAACAAAAACAATCCATATGTCAGAAGAAAAAAAACCACAAAGAAAGAATAAAAAACTTAAGATGATAGAAATCATTTCAAAAGAAATAATGTAAGAGATGTAAAGTTTAAAGTGTCTAATTTAAAGAAAGTGTCTTACTGGAATTTGATGCTATTACAGAATTACTGACATTTTTATGAGGGATGATATTATGGTGGTTATGTGTTTTTAAAAGTCTTCATCTTTTAAGAAATATAAATGAAATATTTACATCTGAATATATGTATCTAGGATTAGCTTCAAAATAATCCACTGGAGCCGGGGGGGGGGGGGGGGGGAGAATGTGTGTGTGGGCATGAGGGGAGTACAGATAAAATAAGATTGGCCATGAGTTGACAACCTTGGAGGCTGGGTAAGGGAATATGGTAGTTCATTATACTATTCTCTCTATATTATTCTCTCTTACTATGGTAGTTCACTATACTATTCTCTCTATACTATTCTATACTATGTGTTTGAAATACTTGATAATAAAAACTTTAAGAGTGACAGGTTACATCTTTTAAAAGGTTAAAAAGCCCATACAATTATTTACTGCTTTAAAGAGAAATTCAAACAAAAGACGTAAGACTAGAAAAGCATAATGAAAAAGAAAGAGTTTGTAATATTGAGGCCAAAAATAAAATGTGAGGCAAAAACCTATAGCCAATTAAAAAGATCATCTGATTTGGACTAAAAATGTAATTAGCATTTAATACATATAGCGATAATAATTGCTATCATTTACTGAGCAATTACCACACACCAGGCAAGTGTTAAGTACTATAGATCACCTTTGATGTTTCTAACAACTCTGTGAGGCATTATCACTAATTTACAAATGAGGAAATTAAGCCAAGATGGGTATGTCAATCTTTTTAAGCACTATATCCTAAGCCCCTAGCAAAATGCCTGGCACAAAGTAGGTGCTCAATAAATATTTGTCAAATAAATAAAAAAGTCTAATATTGTGCCTAAGGTTAGTAAACAGGGCCTAAATTCAAACCCAAGTCTGAATCTAACACCCCTGCTCTTAATCACATTTAAATCTTTTTAATAACGATATATCTTAGTAAGAGTAAAAATGTTTTTTTCCTTCTGTGTGTGTTTCACTATTTTTCAGATCTTCTACAATTAACATGTTATTTTTTCAAACAAGTCATTAAAAACATTAAATCATAGACTAACCACAAAACACAAAAGATGTTTTGGGGACTATAACATGAAACGAACAAACACAAAAGAGGAGGGGAAACTTTAGCACACTAGTATCAGCTAGCATAATAAATGAAATAAGGACAAAGCATTTGAAGCAATTTACATTAGATTAGGTAGATATTGAATTTTATAATGCAAAAAGAATATGGGTCCTTTTCAAGTATCTATGAAAAATTATAGAGTATGTCTAAACCATAAAAGTCTTCAAAGCAGGAATTTTACAGATCATATTTTCTGATTATGATAAAGAAAGTGAATAAAGAAATAAAGCAGTCATTCAGAAATTAATATTCTTATATAAAACTACTGGCTCAAGGTATTAATAACCACAGCCATCCCTTATGCAATGCTCATTTTGTTCAAAATACAGTGTTAGCCATGTTACATATATTCTCATTTAATCCCAATTAATCATTAATAAACTATGAGGTGTGTTATTATGTATAGCAGAGAAGAAAAAACTGAGTAACTTTTCCAAGATCACAGAGCTATTAGGTTTGCAGATAAGATAACCGAACCGAAGTCTGAATCCAAAGCTCGTACTCCTACACAGAAATGCTGTTAGAATTCATGTATAGACATCTACCTTTGCTCATTTTTCTCTATAAAGCTTTTTAATCAAAAGTAGAGAACCTAGAGTCCTCCATAACACATGTTCTTAAAGTGTCCATTTGTTAACTCTACTATTCTAAGAAGGTAATGGTTCATTTTTCTAACATCATGTTCTGAACATCATGTTCAGACATAATATTTAAAATCATAATCTCCTAAAAGCAATCCCTTTGAATATATTCACACTCTCAATAGGGCATTTAAAGAAGGAAGAAACCGTAAAATTAGATAAAACAAAGTAGGGAATATAAGGTAAACATGATTTACCGTAAATTTATTTCTAAAAAGCAGTGTGACTGTGGAAAAGTCACTATTTTTTGGTACTTATCTGCAATCTGTAAGAGTTAGATGGAACCTTGGCCAGCATGGATTTGAAAGTTTGCCACAGGACTGTGGGCAAGTCCTTAAGCCTCTCTTGAGTTGTGGTTTCTTCATGCATAAAATATGTGGTTATCTAAGAGCTCTTCCAGCTTGACAATGTTATAATCTTGTGACTTTAATCCTTAAACTTTAAGGATTAAAGTTATTAAAGATTTTCTAGGGTTTTCACCTGAGGAAATTACTGATTCTGTATTTAAAGCTGTTTTTATGTTATTTCTTTTTTTTTTTTTTGGAGAGAGAGAGAGTGTGTGTGTGTGTGTCTGTGCGCCCGCGCGCGCTTGGGCACGCACGGACACACAAAGGGAGGGAGAGACAGAATCTTAAGCAGGCTCCTGGCCTCAGGGCAGAGCCCGAGGATGCGAGGCTCCATCTCACAACCCTGGGATCATGACCTGAGCAGAAATCAAGAGTTGGGCACTTAACTGACTGAGCCACCCAGGCGCCCCTTTATGTTATTTCTAAGTCTAATTCCTTCTTTCTTATCTGCATCCAAAATACAGTTTTATCTATCTCCTTCAGCGGTGCCTTTGTACCCAACTGTAAACAAGGATAATGTCAAAGAATGATTGTATAAATACTGTCACCTGAAAGAGAAGTACTAAGAAAAAGAAAACATCGTTTTTCTGTGAAGAGTAAGGAACCTAAAGCACTTTTATAATTTCCACAATCCAATTTTACTATTTTTTTAAGATTTTATTTTTAAGTAATTTCTACATCCAACACGGGGCTCAAACTTACAACCCCGAGATCAAGAGTTGCATGCTCCACTGACTGAGACAGCCAGGTGCTCCCAATTTTATTATTCTTATTTCACTAGTGTTGAAAATGAAGTGTCAACTTGTTTTTTTAAGCTCCTCTATCTACTCCGAAACCTATTCCTGCCTTCCTAATACCTTCAAGTCCCACCTCTTAGTACTCTAATGGAGTTGGTAGTATTTTCCAAACCTGTCTGATGATCAGAATCACCTAAGATTCCTGGTAATGATACACTACCCGGCCTTATCCGAAAATCAATCAGAAGTTCCAGAAGCCCCATGGTATTTCATTTTTTAAACAGCTACTTTAGATGATTCCTGTGATTAGACAAGTCTGGGAAATCACAGTGTAGAGAAAAGATCGTGGGCTTTGGAGTCTGACATATTAAGCTTCAAAACCTGACTATGCCCTTTTTTATAGGTGTGACTTTGGGCAAGTTACTTAACATGAGCTTCAGTTTTCTAATCCACAAGATTTGGATACTAGTTATGTTGGAGGTTGTGGTAAAGCTCATTGTGTCTTGGGTGTTCAGTGTTAGCTTCTCTTTCTTCCTGCTCACCTTGCCAGAGGAAATGACAAATGACAAATATTTGAGGGGATTCTGATGAGTCTCTTATCCTAATGGGTCCACTTCCATTTTGAGGGCTAAAAATTTGAGTACTAGATAACTCTTTAATGCATTACTTGGGTTGGCTAATTTAAGAGTCTAAGGAACAAGTCTAATGATTTCTTCTGGTTTCCAGAGGCTTACTGAAGCCCTCCTACCTAAAACAGATACACCATGATAATGGGCTTCAAAGCTCAAGCTTTTGTTATGTGACTATGGCAAAATGACCTGAATCTGTTTCCTCACTGATAAAACAAATGGTGCTTGAAAGTCTGCTGAACCGAACCCAATATATGTTACTGATAATGTAATGGTTAACAATCACTTAAAATTATATAGTCTTATAAAGACCCTTATGAACAAAAAGAAGACAGCAATAATAGCCTGCAAGTAGTAAACTGAGACAGAATGGGATTTGCTCAAATACACAATAAATCAGAGCTTAACATCCAAGCAAAATTCCTATTTGTGTAGTATCAACTGTATCTTAACACAAAGTGTTTTAGACAAGTTTGGAGTTGAATTTACTTAGAAAAAAAAACAATCCAAACTACTCGCTCATTAAAAAAATATGTGTATACATATTTAAAAATTACCAAAGGTATATAAACACAACCTGGCAGCAAGGTTTATTTCTGAAAAAATAATCAAAGATAAAAGTTCCTAATTATAGCTCCATGATTAATTCTAGCTGTACATGTATTAAGCATAAACACTATTAATAAGTGCATTTTACTAAAAATTGTTGGCATTGTTCAGATAAACTATAAAATAACTAAAAGAAGCTTA